GGTCGAACTCGAATCCCCTGGGAGTAACGAGTGTGGTGTAAGTGGTGTATGGTGAATCCATGCGCGTCTAGACGGGTTCGGTGAGTTCTGTTTCAACAGCATTTCACATATCTGAGTGGTCTAAGCATGTTAGAATTCTCCAATCGGATAAGCAGTGCTTCATGTGCTTTGACGCATCAGAATCAATGAAGCAAAAGTGTTTTGATGCACGCATATTAGACACTTCAATTCTTGCAATGCAAAGCCGAACTGTGGGATCGTGTTATGAATCCTTGACAAATGGTGCATATTGTTCTCTACCCTAATGCGGTTTTGCAATATATTATAACATATTATGGTTTAAGCATAATAAATGCTTATCTATATAATTTGCTTAACATCATACACCACCATCACCACCACCACCAGAAAACAGACCCGCGTTTATGAACAACGACCGCTGAAATTTTTACAGATAATATAACAACATTCAAAAGAACCCACTATTCTATCGCTACCCAGCCACAGTTCCCTTTTATGGGGGGCATTTTTGTATTAAATAAAAGTTGTAATACAAAATTTATAAAAGAACTGACTTTGGTGATGAAATGTGACTTATTGTCAAAAGCCTAGATCGAATCTCCCTTATTACTTTCTTCTTGAGTAGTGTAGTTTGCGAATTGTTTAAACGACGTGAAATGAATGGCCTGTTGATTGATGCTCATAGACCACAAGCATACAACGAGCAAACAACGTTAGACATTACATGTTGCTTCGCACCCCGGGCTCTGCAGTTCTCCACTCTGCCGACAGCGAAAAGATACCTTCACAAATGTGAACGTTTTCGGTTTTAGTGAGTCAAAAATCGGTCAGCATAGACATTTTGTAATTGTTAAGTGTAATAACGAAGAAATGTAGTGGATTTTTTGACAAAGAAATGCAAACAATCAGTTGATCAAAGTGAGTGTGTTAATTTGATATTCCTGTCCTAGTCCTGTCCAAGCATTGTCAAGTTGTATCACATTATGATCTGGATCAATGCGGATCGTACCGTCCTAACAACAATATGCCATAAATCGCTACCCAATCCAGACTGCCCGAGGATATTCTCTAATTTGTTTACTACTAGCGATGTTTTCTGTTTCTCGTTGAATTGACTGCTAGTTGTCAGGGGGTCAGCATGCTCATTGAAAATTGCTTTGTTGTGGGAAAACCAATCAAAACAACAGTGGGTGAACTCAGGTGATTGGTCGGCAATGCCAACCAATCCAATCAAACAATCGTTTGATACGTGCATTCCCCTGTCCTTATCTCTATCTTTTTTCTTTTTCTTTTACTTCCTTTTATTGAATACACAAAGATACAATTTTCAGGAATGAGGAAGCGGCCAATAAAAGGGTTGCCGTTTAGCACACACAATGGGGAAAGTCAGGCGCTGGTGGTGGGATTCTAACACATCCCTGGGGTGATAATTTGGTTGAGGTTAACACCGGGCCACCACCACCCGGATTTCGCATGATAAATGAATTCCATCGGGAGAACTCGTCGGGTTTCGCTATTTGGTGTAGATGGAAAATGCAAAACGGTCTGATTAGCTGTCCGATGGCCGAGTAGATAGAATGCTTTCGTTCTACCTGTGCTGTCCCGGGTTCGATCCCAACCTGGGTCGGTAGATTTGCACTGCTGATGTAACCAAAGAAGTCGAAACAGCTGTCTAGTGCTTTCTAGTCTTTCATTTCACGCATCATTTACTCTATTGATTACGAATTCTCTCTATGAAATGGAACCAATTCCTCCTATACTCCTATGGATTCCTACGCGCTTCCAGCTGTTGTATTTCATTACCTGTGGAGTTCCTATCTGTACGATAAACGTTACGGGAAGGTGATCCTTTGAGAATCTACCGAGTTAGATCCTGTGCGGTTAAGACAATAAGAATTATCTCAATTTTCAAGTTCGTTCGGAAGGTCATTTAGTACTTTCAAGAAAGTTGAACAATAATACATTTTTTAGTAACACAGTTGTGTTCGTTCGTTTTACTTTGTTTTCCTATATTATTCCCAGAACTTCTTAAATATTTCACATGCTGGTTTGATCGGTGGTCTCTGGAATTAGACTTAATGCTTTACTAATTACGGTTTATGTGGGTCAAGTAAATTTTTGGGTTTTGGGCGAAAGTTGTCACCGGACTGTGTGTATGTGTGCATGTGTGTGTGTGTGTGCATATCATGTTACAGCTTTTACGCCACCGGGTCTTGCATTCAATCAACTCTATTCACGTACCTCAGTTCTGGTTAAACGGAACTGGTTGAAATACGTTGGACTGAACGAACCAATCATAGTAGAAATGACCCACTGTGGACTATGTATGTAGAAATGTTGAATCCATATTCTTCATCTCGAAGGTAATGAACGAGTCCTGCCTCCACCTCATACTCCATGCAAGATTTCATCTCTCAAGATTGAATGATGCGACTAATTTGACATAAGTGCAATCAACAACTGTACAAAAGCGGTAACACATTACAACCTCCATCCAAAATGAAAGATTTTGTCGTTAAACCGAAATTGCAGTGGAGGGGTTACTGTTGAGTTTCCGGATCGCGCAGAGCGAAAAGAGGAACAAAGACTGCCGTCAGACTGACCGTCAAATCCGTGTAGGTTCGAATGAATCAATGACACTTGTTAACCAGTGGCACACCTGACAGTTATGCGTTGTTGCAAAGACCTAGTCCACCAAATGCATGTTCCAAATGCTAGTGGGAGCGTATTACGAAATTCACCACTTAATCTTTGCAATAAAGACCTTAATGTTTTCATTAGACTGTTACAATACTTTATAATCCAAATCATTCTGTCTATGCTAATCTTTTCAATCCTTGCATCCTCACCTTCACCTAATCTGCTGAGCGTATCTAAAACACATTACGTATAGAAACTCTGGAGTCCCCGTTTCAGGTACTTTATCGTACCGAAAAGGATGGGGCACGGAAAAACATTTTTACAAACTTTGTTATCGGTAATTTTATTTCAATGCCATTGTATTTGGATTCTTTTGAATGTTAGTTTTGTTTGCCTGAAATAGTTTCATCTCATCTGGAATCAACAACGCACAAACAAACTCAAAGCGATGAGTACAAAAATAAAAGTTGCAGTCGGAAATAAATAATTATTGTATGATATCGCATTCAAGATAAATTTTGAAGCACTTATGGTTTTTTAAACGCGTGAAAAGCATAATTGATCCATTCCATATATTTTATCCAACAAATCCGTGGAATAGTAAGCGCCTAAGCACGACTATTATACCCCGACTGTTCGGCGGAATACATCACACTCCTTTTCGAAACAACTGATTATTTGAATCAATTGGATGCTGTGTAAGAACTATTTTTTATTTTCTGAATTTAACCAAAAACAAATCATACGCACCTAATAGGTTTGGGCTCCAACTCATTTGTCTACCCGCCTCGATCGAATGACGACATTTCTGAGGTACCATACAACTACAGCGCTCGATGGAACCGGTTGTTCTCCCAGTATGTGTACAGTTTCTACTGGTCCACTTTGATCCTCACCACAATCGGGGAGACTCCAAAGCCAGTATACAATGCGGAATATATATTTATTACTATTGATTTTCTGGCCGGAGTATTGATATTCGCCACGGTTGTTGGTAATGTGGGTGCCATGATTACGAACATGAATGCTGCAAGAACGGAATTTCAAAGTCGGATGGACGGAGTTAAACGGTGAGTCACAATCAGTGTAATCACAGTAGTCGGTACAGTCTTTTGAGATTTTGAACCCTC